CTTTGAATGAAGCCATACTTAAAATATTGTTTCAAGAAATGGAAAAAAAAAGAAACAAAAAGAAAAAATATATATGATGATGTAAAGAATTTTGTTAACACATGCTTTTTTCTAAGTTGCAACAAAGTAACTTAAATGCACATAGTTATGAAAAAAGTTGCGACCGAATAAAATTTAGCCATATCCTGTGAAGTCAATTATAAAATTATTGGTTAAAATGGGCAAAGACTCCATTCTGAATAATAAGTATTCCCTTGCATGAAAGGCCTTTAGAAACAGAGAAGAAAAAGAGTTCAAGTCCTAGCACACAGGATAATGGAAATACCACTCAGACTGCCATATGATAATTCAGTCACTGGGGCAACGAACTAGACGCATTTTCTTTCATGTTTGGGCCATAGAATGATTAAAGGTGGAGGACATCAAACCTCATCTATGGCTATAAAGCCGTTATTTGAAAATGAGAACAAAAACATCAAGATTTCAAGTTCTGTCTATATGAATTGATCTAGGTACATTAAAATAGTCAAACCTTCTTTTCCTAAACCATAGCATGACATAATTCATGATTGATGAAATGGTTCTATATGTGTAATAGAAACATATAAATTTATCTAGCAGGAAATGAAGAAGGACAATTTGAGAAAATGCAAAAAGCAAGAGCTTCACTCCTAAATGAATGTTCCTTAGCAGCTGTTGCATGACCTAGATTTGATGAAAATTCAAATGTGGGTTGTTTTGATGGTAAGATTAACACATGACTATTTATTCTTACCGAACCAGCCAAAAGGAATAGCAAAAGAACTGTTTAGCTGATACAAAGGAAACGAAATACATACTGTCAATCAAACAAAAGATGTCATATGTAATGTTCTTATTCATAATTTTTACCCTCTATAAAGAAAGAAAAATGGTCAACACATTGATGGTCCAACAACCAATTTCATATAATAAGGAATAATTGTTAATAGACTGAATTTTTCTTTTAGGTCGATAATGTGATTTATCGGTCTGTGGAATAGTACCATGCGGTCCGGGAACTTGGTATTATTTTTAGTCCGGGAAAATTAACTATGCATAATTTTAATATTTTATTTACTATTTTTATGGGCAGATGTTTGATGATTTTAGGCGGGTAAGAAAATATGTTCATGAATATTATTGGAAGAGTTTTTGTATTAAAAATGCATAATATTTCTTAGTGTGGTTATTAAGAAATAATGAGGAATTATTTTAGTGGAGTTAATTTAATTAATTGGTGTTTAATTAAATAAGGAGTAGAAGAGAATTATTTTTAAGAATATTTAGAGGCCATTGGATGAAAGATTTACTTAGGAAACTTGATCTTAAGCCACACATTTGGCATGAAATTAGGAAGTCAAATTTAGGAACTTTGTCACCTTAAAGTTATCAAACCACAACACTTTTTTTCTTTTCTTCTCTTCGTCTTCTGCCACGTCCATTTTCCTCTTCTTTGTTTTTCTTTCATTTTCTTCATTTTCTTGCCTCCAAAATTAACCACCAAGCTACCCTAATTAAACCATGTTAAATAGTACTTAATTCTTAAGAATTTAAGTAGTAAGAAGTTGAGATTGGTGATAAAAGCAAAGAGGAAGTGAAGTTACCAATTGAAGCAAGTTAAGTTTGTGGTTTTTGAGTTTTGTTTTGAATTTAATAAGTAAGAATTCAATCGGTTTAGACATGTTATTGGATGGCATTAAATCATGCTCCAACTAATTTCTTTTGTACAAGTTTTTGCTTTTAAATGTTGATTTCTCATGACTTTGAAAGAGGTTGGGAGAACCATCCTCAAGGGTAGAAGAGAAGGACCAAGGAGTAAGGCTTTCCCAAGCTTAATTAAAGCTTGTTAATAAGGTTGGTGCAATCATATTCTCGTTTCGCCTTTTTCACTTCGTTTAAGTTGTTTTTTACATGGTTTAGGTTTTTTGAATATATTATTGGGAACTTTGTTTATGTTTTGGTTAATTGATGAATTTTATGTTAAGATATGTCTGAAGTGGGATTGGAAACTCATTTTCGACCCCTTTATACTTCCCATTTGTTTCTTCTGACTTTCTTCATGAAAGTTGTAGCTTTAATTTCTCAGGCTTTTCCAAACATATTCTTGATGTCTAATTCCAATACTTGTAGCTCACTTATGATTTAAATACCAAAACTGGTTTCTGTTAATGGGTGTTCCTTACCTGTATATCGAAATGATTTGTCCATTTTGACCACACAAATGGCAAAATAAAACATCTTATGTTCTTCAATAAAAGTTGTATTTTACTTCTTAGCTTTCCACCCATCTCTTGGTGGTTCCAATTTGGAGATACAATAGTAACTTATGGCTGAACACCCAAAAAACCTGACTCTGTGTGACGGGCCACATGCATTACTAAATTAGAGTGGCCATTTTGACGCACTAATAAATGACAGATTAGGTTCTGAGTTTCTTTCCATAAAATTGTTTCCCTAATGTCTTGAGACTTCTATCGTTTTTGGATTGGTTTTTTAATTTGAGTGTTTGGTTAAGTTAGGAATTCAATAAACATTGGACTTTTTTTGATTTTGCTGAATCGGGTTCTGATCTGTTGGTCTATGGTTCCTAGCGCTTTTGTTTGCTTATCTTACCGATTGATCTTAGGCTGTTTGGTCCTTCTTTACATTTGTAACAATTTTCTGTCTTATCTTTCTAATTGAATCTGATTTATTCAATTTGGAGGCTCAATAACTCAAGTTATGTTTAAAAACCAGCAAAGGTCAAGTTTATGAAAATGCTGAAAAGTTCTTGATTTATGTACTTTTATAACTATCTTAAGTATATATATCTGATAGTGTTTTTGAAAGTAAGCTTTTGAAATGATGGGTATTAAGAAAAATGAAGAGTTTTTTTGAATTAAGAATTATTACTTTTGTGAAAGGAAATGATTTTGATTTTGGGCTCTACTAATGCTGATTGAAATGTGGTATGTGAGATTGATTTTTGTTATGTGAAGCTATGATCATTATGCTAGGGTTATCAGTCATTAATAAATAGGCAGACACGCTTATTTATGTGATGGGGGTGGTGCTTTCATAGGCCACGACTTGTGTGATGGGGGTTGGCGCTAACATGGCCACGTATCAAATCTTGCTTATGTTCATTCTGCATGAGTACAGAGCCTTAACTAAAGATGAATTTATTTTTGGGCTATAAAAGAATGAGAACAGATTTGGTAATTCTTATAATCGTCTTATTGCTTTCAAGTGTTTTTAATTATATTATCGATTTCAGTATTTATATACTTGCGTAATTTTTGTAAAAGGCACTTGACGAGAACTTGCTTTGGCTTTATTCTTGGTAATTTTTAATTGTTGGTTATTTAGCACACTGAGTCTTCGCCACTCAGGCGCAATTGATTTTTATCACGGGCAGGTTAGGAGCGGAGGGGTGTTTCTGTAAGACTAGAGGAGTAGCATCAAGAGTAGATATCAGCTTTTGGGGTTGGATATTTGTAAATGATGATTTTTTGGCATGTATTAATATTGTGTTTGTGGAGGTTGTATATTAAGTTTATAAGGTATTAAGAGTTATTATTATTAAGGAATAACATCTTATTATATTTATTGGGGTGTATGATAATTATAATATTCCTTGAAAAGAATTGTGTTTAAGAATATTAATGAGTATTATTGATGGATATTTAGAAGTGCTTGTGGTATGTTGTGTTGAATTGGAGTTTTTTGGGGTTTGGGAAAATTGGAAGTGTGTATATTTTCTTTGTGTGGCAAGTTAATTATTTAGGGAAACCCGTTGCGAAATTTTCGTAGGAATTTCCTTCAATATTTTTTTTTAAACAATGTTAATTACTTGCCCTCCTTATAAAATTTAAAACCACTTCTAATTTGGTGATCTAAGCTTTAATAAGTGACATAAGACGAATTTGTGATCTAGCTTTAATAAGTGACATAAGACGGTGCTCCGGCACCGATTGTGGCATTCACCGTCTGGTTCTCCGGAATTGGCCGGTGGGTGTTACAATAATTCTAAGCCACGTATAGAAGTTGATGTCATTCAATTTGCACAAGCTACAACTAAACTTGAGTTGGACATCTTTTTACTCTGCCAACCTCCAAACAATTCAGATTTAAATGTTTTGGCTTTGAGTTTTTTTTAGAGCAATTGATTCAATTAAGCATAAGGAAGCTCTAAGTACTATTGATTAACTTGTTAATTTTTAATGTAGATTATCAAGATAAAGCTACAGCTCAAGTTCATAAAAATGCATAGTAGTAATATGTGAATTATTGGGACATAAAAATTGAGATATAGTTATAAAGTTAAAAGTTTGAAAATTTAAATAAGCTTAGCCCAAATTTATTTTATATGAAATACTTTCACTATTAGTTTATAAAAAGTTACAAATAATAATTTTTCAAAAAAAAAAAAAAAATTACAATGTATAACAAATAGAGCAACTTGGACAATGTGTAGCTCTTCATTTAGTTTAATTTAAAGCCTTGAGCTTCTCCTAAAAGAAGAAAAAAAAGAAAAGAAAGTTATATAATCTCTTATTTATATATATTATAAGAAGTTACATAGTCTAATGAATTTTAAATTTAAATACAAAATTAACATAATCTAATAGAATTTAATTTGAAACAAAAAATTAATATAATCAATCAAGATTAAATTTTATTTTTTCAATAAATTAAAATGAAATTTTTAAAGATATTTTTTGTCAAATTAATTAATTTGGTAAGAGCGTTTTCCTATGTTCCCACTTGTATAATTATGGATTAGTCATAATTTAGTTAATCATAATTTAACGAAGAAGTCAATAAACCAACTATTTAATTGAACAATAATAAAACAAAGAGTTTATTTAATTGTTTTAGAAATAGAGATCCTAATTTGTAAATTTTAGCAAACTACAAGGACTAGATAATAATTATGTATCCAATAATTAATATTAAACAAATCAAATATATTATATTATCATATAGTAACATGCATTGCCCATTCCCGTTTTGATCCTGAAACACACCGTTCGTTGTTGCCTAGGGTTCCTTCCTTTCTCCCCCATTATTTTATAAACAGAAATAAATTTCCCAATCGTAGCTTCTTCAAAGTTTTGCTCTCATTTTCGCTTCCTTACCTTTCTACCAATCGTCGCGCTTCGCTTTCATCCGGTACTACTCTCTCTCTCTTTCATGTCTTGTGGATTTTTTTTAAGTGCTGCTTTGTTCGTTTCTGCAAACACGAAACAGACATTGCATCTCTTTCCTTTATTCTTCTAGGTTTGATTGAAATGCAGTTGCCTTTGCACTTAGATTTTTCTGTTTTTGTTGATTTTGCTGATTTAGAGCAGTATTTCCTTAATTTGAAGAGGGAAATAGGAAGAGAGTGGAAATTTTTCGAAGTTTAGCTAGTCAGTTTTTTTTTTTTTTTTTTTTTTTTTTAGCTAGTCCAGTTTTTTCTTTTTTTTCTTTTTTTTTTGAGGGTATGAATATACGAAATATTGACAGCGGTTTCACTCCCCTCCTCAAATTATCTGATCTTCTTTTCTTAAATAGCTAACTCTGGAAGAAAACGCAGCCATCACTTCATTGGCCGTGGCAAAAGTTATGACAGTCATGGCTTTTTGTCCTAGCTATACGTCAAGTGCGTCTTTTTTTTTTTTTTTTTTTTTTTTTTTTTGAGGTATGAAATCTAGAAAATAATTGAAGGTTACTACTTCAAATTAATTGACTTTTTTAAATAGCTAATTGAGAAACGAGCATATTCAAATTGCCAGTGGCAAAACTTATGACAAGTATGGTTCTTTGTCCAGTATACGTCAAGTGGCTTTTCTAAATGTTTGATTGCGAACTGGGATTGTTGTTATACATTGAGTTTTCTTACGTAATTGGCTACTTCTGGAAGTGTTGTTAATAGACTTTTATTGCTTATAATAACAAAAATGGCAACTTCTATTCTACGATCTTTTCCTAGTGATTCGTTGAAACTTTTATATTCTTTTGACTGAGCATAGCTAGAATAAAGTGTACTTGATTTGTAAAGTATACCTGCAATTTCAGTCCCTGTCTCAGGCTTAATATGTCAATTTGTTGCATGTAGGTGCACAGATTGGCATGTTTAGTGTGGAAATCTTGTTGTTTATGTGAGATTGAATCTATTAGGGCTTGCTTCCCCTTTCTCTTGAACGAGACCCTTTTTTTTTTTTTTTCTTTAATATCAAAATGACCCATAAAAGAATTGTAGAGACTCCTTTTCTTTCTTTTTTAAAACATAACTTGATAAGTCACCTGAAATTAACTTGAAACATTATGAGTTTTTCCTTAATTTGTTCTATCATCAGTCATCTTTAAATTAATTTATTAATTCTTAGATGCTGCTTCCTTCCTTTTCTCATTTTTGTTATGTGGTTAAATGTGCACGATGGAATGAAGCTGGTTAATGCTTAAACTTGCCTTCCTTTTTTTGGACAGAGGTCTTGTTCTAATTTCAAGAAGTTCTTTTCTTGATATTTTTGAACCACCATCATAAGCCTCATAATTGTCATTCAGAAATCTCTTTTTGCCTATCTCTGTTAGTACTGCTGCTAATGTTATCATTATTCCTTAGAAAATTTTCACATTACAACCACCTCGAGACTTATCTCATCACATGGGTTCTATTCATATTCTGCAACTCCTTTTGGCCTTTGATTTTGTTCCTCCTTTCAATATATGTGTACTTTTTCCCATGAATTCTTCTGGCCTCTGTGCCTTCTTCACAGTTCCCCTGCAAGCTTGTTTACTTAAATACATAAGATGCCAAGGGCAAAGGGAAATGCATCAGCAGTGGCTCAACCAGTTGAACCTGAAAACTCACTTGAGTCTGACGAGAAGGTTGATCTAGATGAAGATGATCCTGAGGAGGTGATGGATGAAGAGGTTGAGTATGAAGAAGTAGAGGAAGTGGAAGAAATAGAAGAGGAGGAGGAAATAGTGGAGGTGGAGGAAGAAGAGGAGGAAGAGGAGGGCAATTCTAATAAGAACGATGGATCCAATGCCCAGAAGAGCATTATAGGTGATGGCACTAGAGTTGAAGATGAGCATGAGAGGAGAAAACATGATGAGCTTCTTGCCCGTCCTCCTCATGGTGCTGAAGTATATATTGGTGGCATTCCTCATGATTCTTCTGAGGAGGATTTGAGGGGTTTTTGTGAGTCTGTTGGAGAAGTTACTGAGGTAAGTCTACTGCTATTTCTAGATCTTATTCTTAATGGATCTTGTTCTTTCATATTTTTGTAAAGGTAAATAATGCAAGCATCTCTTTCATGATAACAGGTACGAATAATGAAGGGCAAAGACTCAAATGAAAACAAGGGCTTTGCATTTGTGACCTATAGGAGTGTTGACTTGGCTTCTAAAGCAATTGATGAGTTGAATAATACTGATTTTAAGGTGCACAGCCTTCTTCTGAGCCATATCTATTCTACCTTTACTCCAAATGACCTAATGAATGATATTGCATGACAATGTTACTTGAAGAGTAGGTCTATCCTTGATGCGTGACCAAAACTTTTTCTGAAACTTGAATCCTGCTTACTTTGTTTTTTCTTGTTAGTTTTATCCCTATGCTAAAAATCTGTAATTATGCTGCTCCTATTGTTGAATGCCATAAAGTAGTTTCTTTTCCTCTACCAGGGTAAAAAAATTAAATGTTCAACATCCCAAGCAAAGAATCGCTTGTTCCTCGGTAATGTTCCTAGAAGCTGGAAAGAAGAAGATCTGACGAAGGTTGTGATGGAGGTTGGCCCTGGAGTAACTGCTGTGCAATTGGTGAAGGTTTGTTTGTCTCTTTTCAGATATCTGTCTATTCCCCCCCAACCGCCCCCCCCCCAAGGTGTGTGATGGAGGTTGGCCCTGGAGATAACTGTCGTTTGGCACACCTGTGTCGAAGGTTTGTTTGCTCTCTTTTCCAAGCTATCTGTCCTATTCCCCCCCCAACGCCCATCACCCCTGTTATGAGTCTGCTTGGATTTTATATGCTGGCCCGGGTTTGTCCATTACAATCTCTTTTCGTTCTTTACGTGCTATGGGCGACACACTGTCTTGTACTCCCCAATTTTCTGTGTGATATTCTGGGGTTACCGAGGAATACTGACGACAAGCACATAAACAGCGGGCACTTACTCGCCTTTTTACTCGACTACCTATACCCATACATCAGCCTGCTGCTGAATTATCTCAGCCCCCCCCCCCCCCCTGTTATGAGTCTGCTTGGATTTTATACTGCTGGCGGGTTTGTCATTACCAATTCTTTGTGCTATGGGGGAAACTGTCTTGTACTCATTTTCTGTGTGATATTTGGGTACAGGATATGAAGACAAGCAATAACAGGGGCTTTGCTTTTATCGACTACTATAATAATGCCTGTGCTGATTATTCAAGGCAAAAGATGATGAACCCGAAATTTAGGCTTGGGGATAATGCTCCTACTATCAGCTGGGCGGATTCTAGAAATTCTGATTCTTCTGCTAATTCACAGGTACTAAAGAAAAAGCCATGATTAGTTAGATAGTGAAGTGGAGTCTTGGGAAAGAATTTGGGACAGTCTTGGTGTCCGGTATACTTGCAAGGAGTGACTGGTCCCAAAACTTTAACCTGCATCTTAGTGGCTGTAAGCTCAAGATTTCTATAACAACATTAAGCAGCAGCCCTTGTGTTTGTGTTGGTATTGGAAAAAAAGTTCCGGCTTTTATCACTTGATTTCACCTTCATTTTCTACCAGTGCTTTGTTTATAATAAAGGATAAAATTATCATTTTTTGTTTTAGATGGAAATATGACCTCGGATGCCTTCTTGTTATCATGCAATGGGGAATGAAAATGCTAAAAGCATAGTGTTTTAAGTGGGCAGAGGTCTTCTAAGAATTCTTGTTATCATGCAACAAGAGAAATAACAACACTTTTAGCAGATTGTTATCAAACAGTGATTATGATTAAGGACTGCTGGCAGTGAGTCCATAGAGAAACAGGGCGAATAGCAAGGTTATGCCGAGATTGTGGGATCCAACTCCAGTTCCATTGATCAAATGATTATTGTCCCCTGCTTGTGATTTCTTTATTCGATAAAAATGAATTTGATCGGAGTGAATCCATCTTATCGTTTTATGAAAGAGAGATCTTACTGTTTGAACTTTAAATTTCATTATCTGATGACTTCAGCTTGTCCTTCTACAGGTGAAAGCAATATATGTGAAGAATTTACCAAAGAATGTAACCCAGGATCAGTTGAAGAAGCTATTTGAACACCATGGAAAAATTACAAAAGTGGTGTTGCCACCTGCAAAGCCTGGACAGGAGAAGAATAGAATTGGTTTTGTTCATTTTGCAGAGAGGTCTAATGCTATGAAAGCATTGAAGAATACTGAAAAATACGAACTAGATGGTGATTACTGATTCACGAATTATCATCTTAAATGCAATTCATGAATTATCATCTTAAATGCATTTACTCACTGAATAAGTAAAAAATAGTTGTTTATGCTGGTTTTATTTACTTTCTGAAATTTAGGTCAAGTTTTAGAATGTTCTCTTGCAAAACCTCAAGCAGACCAGAAACCTGTTGGAGTGTCAAATTTACAGCATTCAGGTCTGCTTCCAAGTTACCCACCTGGGGTTGGTTATGGTTTGGTAGGAGGTGGCTTTGCTGCTGTTGGTGCAGGAGGCTTTGCACAGGTGAGGGGCTATGCTTTGCTTATCTCTATACTCGTGTCTGTATCTGTGCTGGAAGTTATAAATCATTGTAATAGGCTAGTTTTGTAAGCATTGAATTCTAGATTTCAAATCTTATCCGCTCCCAGTTTTACCTGTGGGCCCTTGATATTGCCTTTTCTGTTGGTTTTTGTTGACAGATTTTAGGTGCTTAACTTGTTCATTCTCCCATCCCTGTTTTATTGTTCGTTCTAGAAGTTGCCTTATCTTATTATCTACCTTCTGATCAATGCACAATACATAAAAAGGACTATTGAAACTATATTATCGTGTAGGCTTCCCTAAAATCTCTAGGATGCTAGGATAACTGTTATTTGTCATTTAGAAACATTTATTTGTGTTCATTACTCTTCTAGTTATGTAAATTCCAACTTTCAGATGATATTGAGATATTTATAATTTTTGGCAGCCATTGATATATGGAAGGGGACCAACTCCTGCTGGCATGGCAATGATGCCAATGCTTCTACCTGATGGACGGATCGGATATGTCCTGTAAGCTCAACTAGACATCTTTGACTGGCATGTTTTACATTTTTAATTTTAGAGTCAAGGGGGTAGCTAGGATCTTCCTAATCCTGATGTCATTTCAAGCGACTGCCTGGCTAGTCATGTATCAGTTTCCACATAAAAACACACACTATAACATGAGAGAGAAAGGGTTGGGGTTGGGGAGGTAATGAATGTATGCGCACAGGATCACTTAAGGGGAAAGAAAGAAAGAATCATAGAAAAAGAATAAAAAGCAGGATCATCATCACCAGCATTACAGTCGATTTTGGCATGCATATATGTATTGAGTAACCCAGTGGCGTCATTATCTAGGAAATGGAACCTGATTCTAACTGTAAGATAGTGAAAATTTGTAGTTATCACTCGGTTTGGTGGTTCACCATTATTGTGTTTTTAATGACCTAGCTAGAACTCTGGCCAGTGGTGAAATAAAGAATCATAGTTCTAATTGTGCTGGACCTGTAGGTCTCAACAACTTGTATTGCCTAATAGAATATTTGCACTATGGGTCCATACTGGATTCTTTGAACTTGAAATTGTGAATACTCCTGCAATAGTGAATTAAGCAAGAGAATAACCTTGTTTGTTGCAACTTAAAATGAGAGACTTGGTTTAAGTGCTTGAGGATTTAGAGCTCAGTCCATTTATTTTTTTCCTTGTAGGCAGCAGCCTGGACAACCACACATCACACCTTCACACCAGAGAAATAATAACAGGAATGGCAGTGGAGGTCCGAACAAAAGCGGTGTCAGTTCTGGTAGGGGTAGACAAAGCAATGATGGCTCCAATGGGCATAGGTATCGCCCGTATTAATTTATTCTATTTTATGCTTTTGTTCATAGAGGGATGTGTCTGCATTCCCTTGTCTGTAATGTGTTCTAAATATGATGCATAACATTATATTTGAATGACAAGGAGCATTTTATTTATGTTTGCTTACTTGTAATTATAAATGGTATTCGGCTCTTAGTTCCTCATATTTGTGTTCATTCGATATTTTACAGTTGCTAATGTTAAAGGCCTTTTATTATCTTTATGGTACTTATGCAATCCATGCTTTTGTTTTCCGAGATATGTTTTTATCTAGACCCCAGAGGTAAACCTCTTTCAGTTAAAGTAGTGGGGTAGGTCCTTGGTTTTGAACCAAATGAGAAAAGGGAAGAGGGGGGGGGGGGGGGTATTTTACAGTTGCTAATGTTAAGGCCCTTTTAATTTATCTTTATGTACTTATGCGCAATCCATGCCTCCTTTGTTTTGCCGAGCATACTGTCTTTTATCTACGACCCAGAGGTAACCGCTCATCTTCCGTTAAAGTAGTGAGGGTAGGCCCTCTTGCTTTTCCTCGGACAACACACACTGGAGAAAAGGGAAGGGGGGGGCCGGGGGCGGGCGTTGGGTTGGGGGAGCATTGGATG